CATTTTAAAGCTAGGGGTTTTGTTGTCCTTTGCTTGCTCTTGTATTCTTGGTCAAACCCGCCCCCCCTCCACGCCCCCACCACCCGAACATGTGAAATCGGCCACAGCACAGGGCCCAGGTAGCAGGTGGGGGAGGCTGGCTCCGTCCTTCCTACCGGTCGGGGTTGTCTTTTTTCTTTCAGATTTGTCCTCGGGCCCAGTTGTTCTTCTGAGAGCAGTGAATGGACAGCTCCTGTCCCCAGGAGGCCAAAGCCTGAGCAGGAGCCGTGCCCCAGCGCAAGGGGGCGCCCAAGTGCAGGGAGCAGCGGGAGACCGGCCGAGGGCCATGTCCAAGAGGTGGGCAGTGCGTGCTTCCTGGCAGCTGGCAGCCCGTGGCCTGGCCCAGCAATGCTCTCTTTGCCACTGGGGACCCAGGTGGCCAGGTATGGGGACCACTGGGGTATTGTTCCAGAAGCCGGGGCCTCCACCTCCCAGCCGCCTGAACAGATGTCCCAGCGCAAGGGGGCGCCCAAGTGCAGGGAGCAGCGGGAGACCGGCCGAGGGCCATGTCCAAGAGGTGGGCAGTGCGTGCTTCCTGGCAGCTGGCAGCCCGTGGCCTGGCCCAGCAATGCTCTCTTTGCCACTGGGGACCCAGGTGGCCAGGTATGGGGACCACTGGGGTATTGTTCCAGAAGCCGGGGCCTCCACCTCGTGTGTGTGTGTGTGTGTATTGATCGAGTGCAAACACCAACGTTTCCCTGCAGGTTGAGGATGCTCGCTCAGAGGGTTCTGGGCTGCAGGCTCCTCTGTGACTGGTACTGAGGCCTGGATGGTGACTGACAAGATGTTGGCTGAAGCAATAAAATAAGCTCTCCTGCCAGGAAACTGCCTCACACTGCCCCACCCAGAGGTGAAGGCCCGGTCCTGGCTCCTCACAGGCTTGTTCCTGCCCTGGCCTCTGGCACGCCCCGTCCTCACACGGGGGACACATCCTGCTTCTGTCTGCTCAGTCTGATGACACACATATGGCCGCACATTAGCACCACCTGGGAGCAGAGACACTGCTGCCCGGGCCCCAGCCCAAACAATGAAATCAGAATCTCTGGAGGTGGGGCCTGGGGAGCCCAGACTCCCCAAATGATTCTAATGTATAGCCAGCATTGGGCCACTAGATCATTCCTAGCCACCTAGGGGACCCAGCTGAAGTCCCATTCCTCCAGGAAGTCTTCCTGAACTTACTCCACACAGGTGACCCTCCTCCTCTGAGCTCCTGGGGGCCATATGAGAAGCAGCCCTGGGCGCTGAGGGCAACCTGCTTTGTGTTAGATGGTAGACAGGAAGCAGACTCCAGGCTCTGCTCCTCGCTCGCTGTATATCCCAGATCACGTGACCAAACCTCTCTGAGACTCAGTTTCCTCATCTGCAAAATGGGCATTAATACCACCTACCTCACAGGCTGGCATAAGATGCTTCCACTGACCCATACCTACCACACGTTCCTCCACTTCCAAGACCACAGGCTCCCACAGCCCAGAGTAAGCCAGCTCCCAGGGATCTCTAACCCTGCGTCCACCCACTTTCTCCTCCATCCTGTGTGCTGGGAGCAGCTCCTTGTCAAGACACATCACTCCTCACACTTCCAGGCACACTCCTGAGCCTCCAAGTGTGACCTTGCAGGGGCCATGAGAAACCCAAAGGGCAGAAAACCATCCTGCAGGGCCCTTCCCCGCCCACAAGAGGAGCTCCCTCCGTAGGACCCATTCTAGCAGCCGGACAGACCCTGCCCTAGCTAGGGGCTGGCAGGGGCACAGGTAGACACCTGTGCAGAGCTCCCGCTGTTCCAAAAGCACTCCTACAGCACGTGGTCCGTGGGAGGCGGGCTTCCCTCCCCTCGGCCAGGTGACCTGCCCAAGGTCACAGTTAGTAAGTTCTAGGGCTACAGTTGAGACTGTCAAGAAATTGGAAACAACAGAAAGGCCCCCAAACAGAGAAATGGTTAAATTCCTTAGAGTCCATCATATTGTGGAACACTATACAAATATTCAAGTCATGTCTTCAAATAACTCTAATAGCAAAAGGTTCATAATGGTTTAATGGAAAAGGCAGGCCATAGAGTTAGAATTCTACTTTGTGATAGAGAATGTATTTATTGGCAAATAGACAAATATAGATTGTGTGTGTGTGTGTGTGTGTGTGTGTGTGTGTGTATTGTCCCAAAAACTATATACACACTTTGAATCATTGTTCATTCCAACGGTTCTTTTCAGATTTAACCCATTGGAATTAATAATGATTCAAAGTCTATATACATGGGGTGGGGGGAACACCTGTATTTGCAATGATATCAAAAAATTCTCTAAGTTGCTCCTGGCCCGCCCTCAGTAGGTCAGTCCCCGCCTCCCAGCCCCGCCCTCCCCAGCCCCACAGGCAGGTGAATAGAAGAGGTGCGTGCTGACCAGCAGTCTGTCTGGGTCCCATCTGTGAATGCCATTTTAGTGAAAAATGACACTGAGGGGAAGAATCACAGTACTGCCAGAAGGCGGTGTTTATAAAGTTTTTATTTTCCATTTTCTTAAAAATAACATCTGATTTCCTTTATGCATGTGGGGTGTACTGGTTTCCTTAGGCTGAGTAATAGGCAGATAAGACAACACAAGGCGGGGTCCCCCTGGGGAGGAGGGCTCGGTGTGCGAGGTGGGGCCACGGGGAGGGGGGGGTGACCCACGGGTCGCTGAGTGCCCATTAATGCACACACACGGTCTAACACTTTGTTTTTCGATTTTTTTAAAGACATCTAAAATTACTGAGAGATACGATTTCAGCACTTAAATATACAGACGGAAACCCAACACTTGGACACAACTCTTAACTCTAAGCTCAGTTATTGCACATGACACAGCTGAAGTAGCTTCAGGCTATAAAGCAGTTTGCTCCGCTTGGGACTTCCTCGGGGTGTCTGCGTCCCCTCTCGCACCCCTGGTGGCTCTTCCCTGTGACCCCTGCGGCCCCCAGCCTCACGATGATGCCAGGAGTCGGCGGATTGGCCGTTCACGCTCCCCAAGGGCTGAGGGGAGGCTTTGGTGAGTGCTGATCCCAGGGACCCACCCACCCAGAGGTGAACTGGAAGCAGATGGAGCTCCTGAAAGGCCGAGCGGTGGCCTGCCCTCTACCTGGACAGGCTGGCATGAGGAGAGGGGGTGACCACTGACCCCACATGGCCACAGCCGCGCATGATACCCATCACACTCTCATCGCCCTCACCCCCTCCCTCCCTCTCCCTCCTGAGCTCCACGCCACACCGCCTCCCACCCGTCACCCATGGGCCCCTCAAGGCACATTTGTTCTCTCCAACCCCGACCTACCCTCTCAGCCTTGCCCCGCCCCCCAGCACCCATGGCGTGGGAGGTCTCGGGCAGCTCCAGGGCCCGAGAAACCCTTCTTTTTAAATTTTGGTTGAGATCTTTTCAACACAGTCCTGATTCCACTGCCTGCATCGGCCCGGGGAGCGGGGGCATGGAGAGGGGCGCGGGGGGGCCAGGTGGTGGCCACGTGGGCACGGGCGTGAATCCAAGGAGCTGGGGAGGCCCCTGCAGCCCTGCTCACAGGACACCGCAGCTGCCCAATGAGACGTCACCTGAGGCCTGCAGCCCCTGGGAACAAGCTGCTTTGTCAGCTTTGGGGGGCTGGGTCTCAGAGAGTGGGGTGAAGAGCAGTGTGGGGGCTGCAGAGACAGGGCAAGGCCTTTTGCTTTCTTTCTACAACATATTTACAAGGTCATAAGAACGTGCACAACCGGAAGACCCAGAGACAAGAGAGCATAGGCCCCCACCAGAGAGAGGGGAGGGTCACAGAGGGGAAGGGCACCCCTTCCTCCCTGCCTTCCCACCCCCGAGCCCCCAGATCCTCCACAGCCACCCTGGGGGACACCTCAGAGGGAAGAGACAGACAGACCTCGATCCTAGCGAGAGCGCAAGTTCAAGTAGCTCCGAGTGAGAAGCGGCTGCTCAGAGAGCAGAGGGCTGCGGGGAAAGACGTTTCCCTGCACTGAGCTGAGCTGGGGGCCAGGGGAGGAAGTGGCGGACAGGGAGGGGCGGTGGGAGGCGGGACGTGGGGGTGTGGGACCACACGACACGACACCCTGACAGGACTGTGCTGCAGCGTGAGAGGCGGTGGGTGGGGCTCACTGGAGTCTCACTATTTCCCCAAGAGAAGACTGGAAGGTGCGGGGTCCAGGGTGGAGCAAGGGGCAGACGGGCTGAGGTTCTTCCAGCAAGTCCAGTGGCGCAGCGGATGCAGGAGCCACAGAGCAACCCCCCGGCCTGCCACCCACCCAGCACCTAAGGTGCCCCTCCTCACAGCCCGGGCCCCAAGGGATGGCCCCTCGTCTCACAAAGTGCCTGCACGTGCACACGCACACACACACACACATACACTGCATACACACACGTGCGTGCACACACATATATACTACACAAGCACACACATACACACATGCATACATAGCACAGTCACACACATACATATACACACACATACACACATAGCACACATACGCGGGCACGCGCACACACACATACACACACACATACACACGCTCACCCTGCCCTCACCACACACCGAACAGCATCAGAGGCCCGGTCTGGGTAAGAAATGCTTCGCCAATGGTGGTAGGGTTCGCTTCAGCAGGGAGAAGTGGGCAGGCTGGCGGGGAGCACAGCACCGTCTCCTCCACCCTGGCTCCCTCCTGGTGGAGAGGTTTGGGGGACCGCGAGGCGTGGCCTCAGTGCCTGGCTGGTCCGTCCCTCCCCTCTGGATTCAGAGCGTGGAGAAGCCCCCCCCACCCCAGCAGCCGTGGGGGTCCTCAGGGGGGACACAGGAAGCCACAGGGGCTGCGAGGCGAGGGGCAGGAAATGGCACAGGCACAGGAGCACCGCCCTGAAGGGAGATGGGAAAGGTGCTGGTCTCAGGCAGGAGGGTTGCCGTTTCACTGCTCCCCTCGCAGGGCCTCGGGGGCAGCCTTCCTACCGGTCTGTGGGGAGGGGAGCATTACTGAGGGGTCAGGGAGGAGCTGGGTGCAGCAGACACCCCAGGCTCCTCACCGCTGCCCAGTCCTCAGGCACCCAGAGTGGACCAGGGGCCCAGCCAGGGAACGGGAGCAGGTGCCCCCATGTGGCCCAGCAGAGCTCACTACGTAACCACCCACGGTCTAAGGGAATGGCCCTCCCGGAGCCACAGAAAGAGGCTGGGGTGCCTGTGCCCCTAAGGGCTCTGCCTGGATTGGTGGCGCCTGCTCTCCCTGCCGGCCACGCCCTCGGCTCCACGCCCCGCCCAGGGAGGGGGCTGCTGTGCTGGGCGTCCGGCCCTCACCTGAGGCCGGCGGGGCTGTCACGGCCAAACTGGCCGAGCTCTGGGAAGACCCCCAGCCAGCAGACAGCTCCTTGCCCGCCCTCCCCTCTGATGGGGACGTGCCAGCAGGCTAGAGCTTGGCCCCAAGGGGAGGAAGAGGGCAGCAGGAGCAGGAGGAGTCAGGGCTGCCACTGAGGGGAGCCAATCAGGACCAGGGTGCCAGGCAGGCCCGGATGCGGCCAGGGGGCGTGGCTAGGGGGCATCTCATCTCATCAATGTTGACCTTTCAGTGGGTATGTGTGTGAACGGGTACATTTTAAAACCAACAGCAAATGGAATGAGAATAACTACCAGGAGGCCAAAGGGGTGTTTGGTCCCCAGGAGCAGTTTGACCAAGGACACGTTTGTCAGCACATGCCACACACACACACACACACACGCGCGCACACATGCCACACACACACACACATGCACACATGCACGCACACACGTGCACACACACAGGCATTCT